TGAGAAAGGTACTGAGCCCGTGTGGCTAACATAGATCAGAATAATGGGTTAAGATAAGTCTTAAGAACTAATAAGTAGCCTGACCTAATGAGCCAATCAGTTTATAACCTTATGGAGTCCTGTGTATGATTTCTCTTTGGGGCATGCCGGCTGAGGGGTACCGGGCGGGACAGATACCCCAACAAGCCAGCCCTCATGTTACAGTGGCATCCCTGGGTTCTGTAGAATGCAGGCAAACTGCCATGTTCTCCAGGGTCTCAGCCTCAGCTCCTGCCTCAGGTTCCTGTCCTATTCCTCTGATAACCAACAGTGACATGAACGCATGATCAAACAAACTCTCTCTTCTCCAAGCTGCTTTGGTCATGTTGCTTCACTGCAGTTAATAGGAGCCCAACTGGGACAATGACATAGACATAGAAGTCGGTCAGTAAATACCTGATCAGTAAATACCTGATCAGTAAATACCTAAGAGTGGTCAGGGAAGATACGAGAGGGCGTGAACTGACACGCATTCTTTAGATTTGTTAGTGTTAAAGGGTGTATTTTGTGCTACAAACTTCGTTTTCAGAGAAATAGAGTCAAACTATTTCACTCTACAGAGTTCTAGTAGTCACACATTTCACACTGTGCTTCCCTGAGGCTTAGGTCCTACCACTGGTGCGTCCTGGGCTTGCACCCACCCTCTGTCTACTCCATCTTTAGCTCTGTCTGCTGTCTGTTAGTATGTCTCCCACAGCTCTCTAGTAATGGGCCTTATTAAAGCTTGTGCTAGTTCAGCAGACACAGTTCACGTTTGTTTCTATCATCAACAAATCTATGTATTGTCACCTTGGAAAATGTATTTGCTCTCTCTCTCTCTCTCTCTCTCTCTCTCTCTCTCACACACACACACACACACACACACACACAAATGATTCTTCCATGATTGTGTAGCAAGTGAAATTTTTTTGTAATGACTTGGTGTGATATAGTCTGGATACTAAATTCAGCTTTATTCTATTTTTATTTCTTATTACACTTCATTGAGTAAATAGTAAGCCTATTTAATACATTATTTTTTCCTACTGGTTTACATTTGTGTGTGTGTGTGTGTGTGTGTGTGTGTGTGTGTGTGTGTAGGTTGGGATAAAACCCAGGACTTTGCACACATGCTAGGCAAGTACTGAGTTTCTTTTAACTCAGACATTAAAAATTTGGTTTTAAGCCAGGCAGTTGTGGCTTAAACCCAGCACTTGGGAGGCAGAGGCTGGCCGATCTCCGTGAGTTGAAGGCCAGCCTGGTCTACAGATTGAGTTTCAGGACAGCTAGGGTTGTAACATGGAAAAACCCTGTCTCAAAAAAAAAAAAAAAAAAAAAAAAAGCAAAACAAAAAAACCCAAAACAACAACCACCAAGAAATTTGGGTTTACTAGAAGGAGGCAATCGACACTTTGCTTTGTTTGTTGCTTTGTTTGCTTTGTTTGTTTGTTGAGTATTCTTTAGCTTGTTAAGCCAGAATCACACGTTTTCGGCCCACAATACTATGAAGAATGGATTCAGACTGGGTATAGGAACAACTGTATTCAGTTTATTCAGGGATTATCAACAACCCAAGGGTTTAGCAGTGGAGTAGGAGCTGGACTTGACCTTTGTTTCAATGAAAGCTTACAACGGTGACACACCAGTATCCATGCAGAAACAAGAGAGACCTGGAAAAACCAAAGATGGAAAGAAAAGAAGAAAATTTACCTAGTTTTACCCGTAGGATCCATGTAAGTTGTTTTTTCAAATTTGACCCATTTTCCTTCCGAAATCAACTACAACAAAATCAGAGAGTTATAAGGTAGGAAATGTTCAAACCAAGTTGGTCTTTTTTTTTTTTAAAATCAAAACATGTATTGTTTTAAATTTTCTCTATGTCCCTTTCCCCCCAATAATTTGTGGGTAAGTTTCTAGCTTAAGTATTTAAAGTTGGCCTCCTAAGGGTGGGTCTTTTTGGTAGAACTAAGAGAGGAAAGAATTAATGTCTGGAGATGGGAGTACAGCAGGTGTGCTCACTGACAGTAGGCACTTGTTATTTGAAAAATAAAAATACCTGGGCTGGGGAGAAAAAGGTAACCAACGGGAGTATGGGTGTGTGTGTGGGAAATCTTCTGCGTGTTTCTCAAGTTTGGACCCCAGGTTATACATGCTAAGCTGACCACACTGGTGTGTAGTTGTATGTAAAATCTTACTAAGCTGGATGGTGGTGGTGTATACCTTTAATCCCAGCACTCAGGAGGCAGAGGCAGGCGAGCCGAGGAGATTTTCACTGTGAACTTAAAGTAATAATAGCTTTTTCTTACTAGCCCCATCCCACCCCTTCTTGCCAGCACCAACCTAATCATTATCAGATCTGTTCATAGACAACACAGAAAGATTCTAAATCAAAAAAATTCCAGAAAAGTGTCAGGACCACAGTTCCACGATGAATATGTAAAATTTATCCACAACGACTGGTTCCTCAGAGAACAAAGCCCTAAAAACTCCATTCAACATTAGCTCTACAGCTCAGCAGAATCCGAACTACAATGAACAACTTAAGTGTTTTTTCCTTCCCAATACTGTTTCTCTGTGTAACAGCTACGGCTGTCCTGGAACTTTCTCTGTAGAGCAGACTGGCCTTGAACCCACAGATCCGGCTGCCTCTGCCTCTCAAGTGCTGGGATTAAAGATGTGTGCCACCACCACCTGAAAACAATTTAAGTTTTTATTATTTTAAACATTTATGCTGGGATGATAAACAGCAAGATGTAATTACTGAATATGAAATCTCAAAACCACATACTATGTGCAAAACCACATATTATTTTTCTATCCAGGGCAATTTTTAGAAAGAATTTTTCTATTAGAAGCCAAAATCTACTTATTCTCAATTTCATTATACATATAATTAAGATGGATAAACCACTGTTCAGACAACAGCAAAATGTGGCTTAGCCTTGAAATGGGATGTGAAAATAACATTTGCAAACTATCTTCAAAAATGAAAATCCCATGGTAATAAAAAAAATACCCTGCACATTCATTTTAAACTTAGTGTTATGTGGGGAAGGGAAAGGATAGGAAAAAACAAACTCTACCTCCTCTGAAATAATGTGCTGTTTGGCGTTCTGGGAAGAATCTGTTGATTCTTGGTTCTCCATTTCAACCTAGCTGGTCTCCACAATCCTCCGGTGGGAAGTTCCGCTGTAAGGGAGTGAGATTGGTCAGGCTCCTCCAAACATGGGTCTCTGGTCAAAGTATTGGAATAGATTTAAAAAATTATCTACTACTAAAGCATCTTTCGTGACTCTCTGGGAGAACTGCCTCAGGAAGCATGCAGAGGTACCTTTACCAGTGAGGTGTTCTCATCTTGCTTCCTATGCATCCAGGTGATGACTGTAGACTGACCTTTCCTCTTCCCAGAATTCCCCTGTTCTAGTCGCCCCACCTCTACTTCCTGCCTGGCTACTGACCAACCAGTGTTTTATTAAAATACAAGTAACAAATCTTTACAGGGTACCAGACCATTGTCCCACAGCATTACTCTTCAGAGGCCCACCACTCAGATTCCAAATACACAGAGACTTATTTTTACTTATGACTGCCTGGCCTTAGCTTGGCTTGTTTCTAGTCAGCTTTTCTTAAATTATCTTGTCTACCTTTTGCCTCTAGGCTTTTATCTTTCTCTATTTCTGTATATATTTTCTTTCCCTCTTATTCCGTGCTGGCTGTGTGGTTGGCCCATGGCATCCTCCTCTCCTCCTTTTCTCACTTCTTCCTCTTCTTGTTCTTTCCTTCTATTTATTTTCTCCACTTGGCAACCACACCTAGCCCTCTCCAGCCTTGCTACTGGCCACTCAGCTCTTCATTAGACCAATCAGGTGTCTTAGGTAGGCAAAGTAACACAGCTTCACAGAGTTAAACAAATGTAACATAAAAGAATGCAACACACCTTTGCGTCATTAAACAAATATTCCACAGCATGAATTAATAAATCTTTAATCTTCCCCAACAGTCTTCTATATACTTTCCCCCATGAAGATTCATTTTTATTATGTCTGTGTGTGCTTGTGTGAGATTTTTTATTTATTTATTGGTTTTTTTTTTTTTTTTTGGTTTTTCAAGACAGGGTTTCTCAGTAGCTATGGAGTCAGTCCTGTAGCTTGCTCTGTACACCAGGCTGGCCTTGAGCTCACACAGATCCACCTGCCTCTGCTTCTTGAGTGCTGGGATTAAAGGCATGCACGTCACTGCCTAGCTCTATTAGTTTATGTGTACCATGCATATGCAGGTGCCTGTGGAGGACAGTGGGCATCATATCCTCCAGAACTGGGACTGCCAGCTACTGTAACCGTATTGAAGTGAGTGCCGGGAACTGATTTTGGGCACTCTGAAAGAGGACTTAACTGCTGAACCATTTGTCCAGGGATATCCCTAGCTTTATTTCTTTGTGTATTGTTGGGTGAGTGTGGGTGTACATGTGTGCCATGGTGTCATGGTCAGAGGTCAGAGGACTTTTTTTTTTTTCGAGACAGGGTTTTACTGTTTAGCTCTAGCTGTACTGGAACTCACTTTGTAGACCAGAGTAGCCTCGAACTCACAGAGATACACCTGCCTCTGCATCCCGATTGCTGAGATTAAAGGCATGTGTCACCACTGCCCGGCCAGAGGACAACTTTTAGGAGTAAGTTCTCTTTTTCCACCATGGTTTCTGGGAATCAAACACAGTTCGTCAGGCCTGTGTAGGAAGACTTTTACTCAATGGGTCAACTCACTAGCCTGAATGGCAAGGTCTTTCTTTGTTATACGCATGCATATATACATGCATGTGCACACATATGCGCGCACACACACAAACACACACAGACACAAATGTATACTGTTTTATATATATATATATGTGTGTGAATATTTATATAGATATATAGATATGCTGGGGAATATTATTTTCAGGTGTGTGACTTTTGTTTATGCTGCATTTGATGAACTGTTTGTCCTGGAACTCTCTCTGTAGACCAGGCTGGCCTCAAACTCAAAGATCTGCTTGCCTGTCTTCTCAGTGCTGTGATTAAAGGCATGCACCACCATGGCCTGGCGGATACATACATATACATATACATATACATATACATACATATATATATATATATATATATATATATATATATATATATTATTAGACAGGGTCTCATGTGGCCCAGGCAGGCCTTGCACTTGATCCGTAGCTGAGGATGACCCTAAACTCCTGGCAACCCTGAACCCACCTTTCATATGCCGGGATGAGAGACAAGCACTAGGTGCATTTGGTGAGGGGCACTGATCTAAGCCATCACCACAGGTAACCGATGTAGAATGTGGATAACTGGCTGAAGGGGAAAACCCTGTGAATCTCAGCTTGCACACTCTATACTCACATAAAAGAATGGTAGAATTTTTCTTTGTTTCTCGAGATGGACTAATGTAGTTCAGGCTGGCCTTGAACTTGTTCTGTAGCAGAGGCTGGACTTGAAAATTAGATCCTCCTGCCCCCTCCTCGTAAGTGCTGGGATTACAGACCTGTCCATTATGTCTGGCTTTTGTCTTCTAGATATCCATTCCTTCTTGTTAGTAATGCACAGCAGCCAAGGAAATGTGCTGATGGAAGGAAACCTTTGAGTTCTAATTCTAAACAAGAACTTTTAGACAACCACGCAGCCCCACTGAGTGGGCAAATTCAACTCGAGAATTTCACATGCTCAGGGCTTGCTACATGCAAAGTGCTGGGAAAACAGGGTGAGCCACCACAACCAACCAATACCTGGTTGTTTAGAAGTGGGGTGACCACAAACATTTAAGGAAAAGAATGCAAAATTTTTAAAAGGTGGTTTAATACTGACAGTTGGTCAGAGGCCAAGAAAGCAGGGGAGTAAGTCACTGGATTTTCGATTTTGATTTTATAGTTAAGAGATTGCAGGAATCGTAAAAGAGACATTGAACTTCAGACTTTTACATAAGCTTGGGACTGTGAGGGACTATGTGAACTTTTAAAGTTGGAATATAGTTTTTGCATTATGTTATTTTTATAAGCATTTGGGAGCCACGACGTGGAGTTATTTGGAGGGGTGGCCTTGCTAGAGGAAGAGTGTCACTGTGGGGATGGGCTTTGAGGTCTCTTATATGCTCAAGATACTGCCAGTGGTTCAGACCTCTTCCTGTTACCTACAACTCAAGATGTAGGACACTTGGCTACTTCTCCAGCACCATGTCTGTCTGCACACCACCACGCTGTACCACGATGATAATGGACTAAACTTCTAAAAATGTAAGCCGCCCCAATTAGTATTTTTCCTTTAAAAGAGTTACTGCGGCATGATATCTCATCACACCAATCGAACCCCAAGACAGCGGGAGACACAATCTTATGCTGTGGAATAAACTTCTTGTAAACTGTAAAGATGTGTCACTTTGGTTTAACAAAAAGCTGAAGGGCGAATAGCTAGGCAGGATTCCAGGCAGAGAGGACCCTGGGAAAAAGCAGGGCAGAGACGCCAGGAGACACAGAGCAAGCAGGATGGGCAATATGGAGATGAGGAGATAAAGCCAAGAGGCAGAAAGAAATAGGTGAAATGGGTGAATTTAAGTTATAACAGCTAGTTAGAAACAAGCCTTAACAAAGTTAAGGCCGAGCTTTCATAATTAATATAAATCTCTATGCTGTTTTCTGTGAGCTGGCGGCCCAAAGGAAAGCCCAACTACAATCCCGCAGTCTCAGCTCAGCACAAAGAACTGCAGGCAACTAAGGAAGGCTGAGAGCGAGAGAAATAATCTTCCCCAAGGAAGACACACCAATTAGTTGCCCTATACCAATGGTCAATCCTGAAAACATACACACAAGTTAACATTACACAGACTATGCAGTTTATATTTAGGAAGATAACATGTAATAATAATTAATAAAGAAAAGAAGCCGTGGGTTTGAAAAAGGATTTAAAAGGGCATATGGTAGTACTAGGAGGGAGGAAAGGGAAGGGAGAAATACTGTAATTATATTAATCTCAGAAGGCTTTAAAAAATTAGAAAAAAGAGACAGGTGAGAGTTAAGATGCAAGAAGTGAAACCAGAAACTAAAGTCGGACTGTGGAGTTAGTACCCTGCTCATTGCTACCATTCCTTGAATTGCTGCAATTTGTTCAAAATGGAAAGTGAAACAAAATCTTAACAAGAGGGAACAAGTCACTGCATTCTCTCTGATAAAATCTGAGGAATGGTACCGGCATTGCTCAATACTCATCCTGTCTAAGAAGTAGGACTGTGCTGTTCGGGAAGCCAACACAGCAGAATGGCTTGAGGCCACCACTTTGAAACCAGCATGGATAATACGGTGAGATACGAGTTCAAAAAAGAAAAAAAAGGAAAAAAAAAATGTAGAAGTTCAAAGCATGAGTGAAACCCTGGCTGACAAGCAGGCGGTTGAGACCGTTATATAAGGAGGAAAATCAACAAGGCGCTTTGAGAGAGCAGGGAAAATGTGGCTTTGTGTGGGGCACATACAAGCTTGTGTGAACACGGGCGTGCTTGTGCACAGGTGTGTGGAGGCCTGAAGTCAGCCTCCCGCGTTTGTTCCTAGGAACTCCTCACCTTGTTTTTCTGGGGCTTCGCAATTAGCTTAGCAATTGTCCATCCTATCCCAGAAGCCTTCTGTCTCTGCCTCCCCAGCACTGAGATCACAAATTGAACCAGCAACCCTGGCTTTTTTCAAGGGTGCTAGGGATCAAACTTAGATATCTTGAATGATTTCTGACGTTCTGAGTAAGCTATCTCCTAGCGCCCCCCCCCCAAAAATTAAAACTTTAACTAAAAAGTTTGAAGAAATAATTTAGTATTATTGGCTTTTTTTTTTTTTTTTGAGACGGGGTTCCAGAACTTGCTTTGTAGACCAGGCCTGCCTCTGCCTCCAGAGTGCTGGCTAAACGCACATATTAATACTCACAGACAATCACCATTCTCAGTCTTATCCAAATAAGCCTCTTTCCAGGGAGTTGAGATGAAGTTAGAATGTTACAATTGCATTTGTGTTAAGAGTAAATCATGGTTGAGTGTTGAACCCCAAACAGGACATTTATAGCATTCCTGCCAAAGCTCAGAAGAACAGTATGGAAGATTGGGAGGAAAGAAAAAGCTGGCAGACAGGAAAAAGGGCTGCAAAATGCCATCTTACGGACAGCCATTGCAATCAAGAACTTCCCCAAACTACTGATTACTGACAATGATTCTGCTCAACAGTCAGATTAGGATGGAGGGGGACTTAGGGGCCCCAACCCTCACTGTTGAACTATTTCCTACATACAAATTCAGGGACAGAGGGACTCCCTGTCATCAGTTAGGTGGCCACTGGTGACTTCCCCCACCAGCCTGCAATGGATGGTCCTAATCCAATGGCCACACAGATGGCTCTGCCTAAACCGAATGGTCACACAACAAAACCAAGTCACGAATCTGAAGATTCATAGGTATGTGTGGTGGGGGGAGAGGGTTACGTGGATGAGAAGCAGATAAGACAGGGTTGGAAGAAGCAGTAATCAGAAGGTAACCAGTATACACCTGTCAAAGAATTAATTTTAAAAAATAGAAAAGTCATCTCATTTAATGAAGAACCAAGAAGGAAAAAACAAGAATAATGCTAAATCATTTTAGCCATTATCATAACTTTAAAAGTTTACTTTAAAAACAAGGATATATACTCTCTTTTATACTACACATAGTAAAAATTTAGTACCCACATCAAATGGATTTCAGTGCCCCTCCCTTCACTGAAAATTATTCTCAGAGTAGTCAAGAGATCTTGCACTCACATGGCAGGGGTGGAACGCCACTCAGGTCCAGTGTGTCCTTTCTCCCGATAGGGTTGGGCAATGGGTGGTGAAGGAAGGAGCTGACATTTATTGAGATTCTACTACCCGGTGACTTATATAAAAACATCGTTTACCACAGTTTATTATAGCACTATTATTATCCTAGGTGAGCAAGAGGAAAGTAACAGTAATGACCTTGGGCAGGTTAATTGATTACAACCACACAGTGGTGAGTCCTGTAAGGAACTTCCTGCAGCAGTTCAGACAGGAGAGGATACGAGTGTGTGGTGGGGTGCTGGCATCAAACAACAACTAGAGTTTATCATCTTGTCCTAAAAGTGAAAGTGACTTATTCTAGGGAAGTGAATGCAGGGGGGGTTCCAAGAAGATTTTAAAGGACACTAGGGAAAAGACGTCAGTGTTCACATTGGGACACACTAAGTTTGTGGCTTTGGAGATATTTATCTAGAAGTCATGTTATGAATTCAAGGAAGAAAAAAAAATTTTCACCTTGGAAATCACTCAGTAAATCCCCTAATGGTACTGACATTTAAAAAATATAAAAAAATCCAGAGGGCTGGTGGGACGGCTCAACCGGAGCTTGCTACGGAAGCCTGAGTACTCGAGGGAAACCCCAGGAGCCAACAGTGGAAAGACAGAAGTGACTCCCCAAAGCTGAAACGTTATCCTTTGATCTCACATGCCTGCTGTACTACCCACTTGTACTGGTACACACTAAAATATGATTATTTGTACCCTATAAAAGTTGAAAAAAAATGGTAGTTAAAAAATAGGTGATTTAACTCTACTCTTCAAAACACTTGCACATCTTCTATTTGTGGTATCAGTTCATTGAATTCTGGCTAAGTCTGTAGCAGAACCTACTTCAGTACTAAAAACAGTTATTGAAAACATAGAATACAGGTTGGGTGTGGTTGTGCATGCCTTTAATCCCAGCACTCAGGAGGCAGTGGTAGGTGGATCTCTGTGAGTTCAAGACCAGACTGGTCTACAAAGCAAGTTTGTTCTTTCTTTCTCCCCATCATCCCCAAGACAGGGTTTCTCTGTGTAGCTTTGGATCTTGTCCTGGAACTAGCTCTTGTAGACCAGGCTGGCCTCAAGCTCACAGAGGTCCGCCTACCTCTGCCTCCCGAGCGCTGGGATTAAAGGCGTGTGCCACCACCCCCGGTTACAAAGCAAGTTCTAGGACAACCACGGCTACAAGAGAAACCCTGTCTCAAAAATCCACGACAAACAAACAAGCCAGTGAATACACAAGACTCTGTTCCAGTTTCCTCTCTGTCCTGTCATCTTCCTGATGATTACAATTTAGCTGATTCTCTCCAAATAACTGTCTCAGTCTCTGTGCCCAAGTGTTCACTGGGCTGTTAAAAGTATTGCTTTATCCAAATAAATAATGTTCCTGGGTCTGCTTTCTCCTACAGATCAATTCCTAACTTCAACAAAAAAAAATACTTTACCCAAATGCATTCCAATCAGTGCTAACATTTCCTCCTACTATAACTTTGTTTCCAGGTCAATTAAAATAAAGTATTAATGGTCTCTCACTTCTGCTCTGTCTCTTTGCTGTGCAAGCACTATCCCCCAGAAAAAGGAAAGGGAAGGAACGGATTATCGACGCTTTCCCTCAGAACACGGAGGTGCATCCAGACCTGGTGGTGCATCCCTTTGATCCCAGCACGAGGGAGACAGAGACAGACCGATCTTGATCGAGATTAGCTTGGTCTAGAGTGTTCCTCAACTTCTCTAATGCTGTATCTCTTCAATACAGACACTTCATCATGCTGTGGTGACCTCCAATCATAAAATGATTCCGTTGCTACTTCATAACTGCAATCGTGCTACTGTTATGAATCATAATGCAAAGATAAGATATACGGGATATCTGTCATGCAAGCCTTGAAGGGTCGCGACCCACAGGTTGAGAACCACTGCCATAGCCCATGCCAGGACAGCCAGGATTATAGAAACTTTGTCTCAAAGCAACAAAACAAAGAAACAAAAACAAAACAAAACAACAACAACAACAAAAAAACCACGGGACTGATTAATTCTGGATTTCACAGGTACCTGAATTGGAATCTTTGTCATTCACAACCCACCAGCGTACACTGCACCATAACACATTTATCTTGGCTTTGAAAATGTGTTCTTTAAACAATACTTCTAGCCACTTCACTTGTAACTTTTAAAAAGTTATAGTTCTGTTATGTGTGTATTCTAACTTAAAATACAAAGTATTCCATGGTTAATTCTAACAAATACCTTTCTAAAGAAGTCGAGAGTGGCTGGGGTTTTACCTTTCTAAGTTAAACTGCTTAGACAGGCTAGGGGAAATGTGCTGGGTTTTGTTTTGTTTTTTTGTAGGGGGTGGATATCGAAAATGTGGTACTTTTGGACAAATACGTGCTTGGCGCATGCCCAAGACTTGTAAATTATGGCAAGTGGGTTTTAAAGCCATATCTCCTTAAACTGGTGGTTTTTCTTTCTTTTAAAGAAACAAAACTGAACTTTGTAAGAAGATAGATGGAAAAAGGAGTAGGGAGAAAAACCACAAGTTCGCGTAAAAACTCTTTCAACTTTATGATTTCATCATTGCAGCGACACTGATAAAATCTGTGCTTTTCCACACTGGTGACTTTTTCGAGGCTGGACTAAATGAACTTTTACGCTTACAAAGCACAACTTTCCTCTTTCCCTTGCTTCCCCAGACGAACATCGCCTCTTTCATCTCCAGGACCGTAAAATACGTGCCTCCTCCCCAGGATCGTGCATGCGGGATTTCTTCCCTGTATCTCCTGAAAATCACTTTCACTAATGAGAAGGGACCATTCTTGTAGATGCCTCGACTACTGTCGTGTGTTCAACCGTTTATTGTGCTGGTCTCTGGTTCCTCTCGCAGCCCAGGCTGGTTCTCGCGCTCAGGCGCGGACTAGGAGATACGCGCGCGACTAGCTGCGTCCACAGCACCACCAGCAGTGCTCGCGCCCTCCGGTCCCTTCCCCTCTCCGAGGACACTTAGTACCGAGATTGGCGCGCGCCTACTTACCTACACTAAGCTGTGGGATGTGGAAGGGATGGAGGAGGAAAGGAAAAACAATCAGACAGAAGCTGCAATCTCCGTAGAAGCGGGCGCCACCACTAGAGACACCGGCGCCTCTCGTGGTGCAAGAAGGATTGTGCACACGTCCTCCTCCCGGCACCCGTAGAAACTCGGCTAGCTTCAGATGATTACCTTCCGGGTCGAGGTGTCCACAGACGAAAGAGGAGTTGTAAGCTTTCTAAAATTCTGTACTTTTCATGATGCTTCTCTCCCGGACTCAAAGTCTTTTTGTGTCTCGCGAGTCTGTGCGGGCATGCTGAGCGTACCCTCCACCATTACTTTAGCTTCTAGCGCCTCCTGACTTTTAACGGACCGGAAGAGTCCTTCCATCAAAATAACTTGGTGGGCACTTCCGGAAGTGACACGCCGGGTTCCGGGAGAGTGCTGGCGGGAGAGGAGAAAGGCAGCGATTGACAAGGCAGGTGGAGGATGAAGAAGGAGCATGTTAGTCACTGTCAGTTCTCCGCCTGGTACCCACTCTTCCGAAGCCTTACCATCAAGAGGTAAGATGCCCGGAGGTGAACTGCGATGTTTGGGCAAATCCCATCTCCTTCAGAAAACTAAACAAAAAGGCAGGCCTTCTAACGACTCAGTGGGAGCGAAGGTGTGGAGCTGTCGACTCCCTGAGGTTTGAGGTGACAAGATTAACGAAGTAGATCAGAAATTTGCCGTGCTTCCTGATGCGAGTCAAGAGAGCTAGGAAAGCAGTGAGGGTCATAGGCAGATTAAATCGAGATAGATACTTTTGGAATTGCCAGAAGTGCAAGGCGATAAACAAAACCAAACTAAACTGGGTAGTGCGCCTTGCTGTTGTCTAACCCGTCTGGTGACAGTTGAGTTCCGTCACTGTAAAATGAGGACGGTGCTACAGACCCGACCTCCAAGTCTGTTGGGAAGCTCCAGTGCGGTCGTGTATAGGAAACGTTAGATGGTTACGTTACTACTGATGGTCCAGTGTTCTGAGAAGCAGCAATCCATCTGGAAATAGTGTAGAGTCATACTCGTTCTCTAGTTCCCTGGCCTAGAACAAGGAGTCTTCGCAGGTTTGCAGAATGCCTCTGGTGAATCCGTTATCTTATCACTCAAATGCAAGGCAGCTAAGAGACCAGCTCCAACCTTCAAAAGCAATCATACTATCTGAAAGATGCAGGTAAGGCTTTCATTCACTAACAGGGATAGGTAATGTGTGTGTGTGTGTAACACACACATACATATACTTTGGTATGATACGTGTGAACTTTTCAGTCATTTTTGTGCTAAAAATCCTTTTTCGTTCCTTTTGTCTCTCGTTTTGAGAGAGTCTGGCTATTGAACTGGTGACCTTCCTGCCTCAGTCTCCCAAGTGCTGGGGTTACAGACAGGCACCACCATTCCCAGTTCTGCACTGAAGATTTTCAAAACTGTGCTTTGGTTTCTATGTAACTGACTGCTGTAACCTCTGTCATAGTACTCCTTTTCCTTAAGCAGAATAAACATGTGGTGATTACATATTAGACTCTAGTGTCAGCACCGTCTGTCTGCCTTTGAATTCTGGTTCTAGCAGCATCTTCAGCAGATTTCTTAATCTCCCTAGCCCTCCTTTGGAAAACACAGAAAGAAGTAGGTTTGTTATGAGTGTCACATACTTAAAGTGCTGATACTCTTTCTAACACATAATAAGCACACACAAAAACGTTGCTTTGTTTCCTTTTGAACTGAATAAGCTCCCATTGAGCAAATTATTTTAATTCACTTAAAATGTATGCCATGTATGTGAAGACATCAGTGGAAATAAGCTGGTGAGTGGGATTGTCTGGCATCTCTATAGACAGTCTATGCCTAAGCCGTGTTGCCTAAAACCACCTTTAAAATGTTCATTTAGTTAATGTGTGTGTGTGTGTGCACACGTGCGCGCGCGCGCACACACGCATGTTGGGCATGTGAAGGTTCCAGGACAACTTGCAGGAGTCTGCTTCCACCTTCCACCATGTGAGTCCTAGGTTGAACCTCAAGTCATCAGACTTGTTTCCAGGTACCATTACCCACTAAGCTGCCTTTTAGCAGCCTTAAAGCATTTATTCTGCTTTAAACCCTTTTCTTTGTCTGTTTAACCCAGTTGTAATACAGCCCTTCCACAATCCAGACAGATCAGGTGAAGGCATAAGGCAGACATTGTCTGCTTCAGTGCTGAAAATACACATCCTGCCTAGCATTAGTATTTGGTGTTTATTATTTTTGATTCAGAGCAGATTATGCAAATTCCTTTTTAAAATAGTTTTTATTTATTCTTCGAGAATTTCCTAGATGTATACAAGGTATTTTGATCCTAGTCTTGCCATTTCCCCCTTGCCCATCTCTCGGGTCTAAGAAACAGTGCATCTCCCAACTTCCTACCCTGCTTTTTTTTTTTTTTTTTTTTTTTAAATATCTCTCTCAGTTCAGTTAGTGATGCCTGTATGTGCATGGGAGTAAGGCCATCCACTGGAGTTTGGGCAATCGTCCAGTATCCACATCACCTAAGAAAAATGACTTTTTCCCCCAGCAACCATCAGTTGTCAGTAGCTCTCAGCTGGGAGTGAGACTTGCTGGGATTTTGTCTGTCTTGCTCTTTTGCTGGTTACCACAGCTACTGGGCGTTCATGAGCACGGTGCCTCATATTGTGCAGAAAACAGCATGTCATTGTGCTCCTTCCAGCCTCGCTTACAGTTTTCCTACCCGCTCTTCAGTAATGTCCCCTAAGCCTCGGGACTGAGGGTGATAGAGATGTTCCCGTTAGAGATGGCCGTTCTACACTCATTCTCAGCACTCTGACCATTTGTGATTTCTGTCTGTTTCTCTGGATTTGGGTGGTGTTTGGTTTTCTTGTTTCATTGTAAGAACTACTGTGGTAATTATATAAACTGCAGTGTCTATTCATATTATACTAGCTCCTGGTTTTTGCTCTGTTTCATATTAAAATGATCTAAATATGTTTTTATTTTCACAAATGGATATAAAATGAGTTGTGTGGGATCTTTTCTCTCTGTTGTGGAATAATCTTTTTGTACAATGATATGTCTTTGCCTAGACACCTTCTAATTGGTTTAATAAAGAGCTAAATGGCCAATAACTAGGCAGGAAGAGGTTCGGCAGGACTTCTGGACAGAGAGCACTTGGGAAAAAGAAAGGAGGAGTCACTGTCAGAAGCCCAGGGAAAGACTTGCAGGAGGAGAGTTAAAAGCCGTGAGCTATGTGACAGGACATAGATAAGTAGAAATGGGTTAACTTAAGTTATGAGAACTAGTTAGAGACAAACCTAAACCTGGTGGTAGTGGCGCACACCTTTAATCCCAGTGCTTGGGAGGCAGAGACAGGCGGATCTCTGTGAGTTTCAAGCCAGCCTGGTCAGCAGAATTAGTTCTAGGACATCAAAGGCTACACAAAGAGACCCTGTCTCAAAACACAAAAACAAAAAAGAAGAAAGAAAGAAAAGAAACAAGTCTATGCTATGGGCCAAGCTTTCATACTTATTATTAAGTCTCCATATGGGTTTTTTATGAGCTGGCGGTCCCCTAGAAAATCTGTCTGCCTCTCCCCACTGTGACTAGTCCTTTTAAATGATACGTTTGTTTTTTCCAGTGTCATTCTCCCACTTCCTCAGAATGTGAAAGACTATTTACTCGACGATGGAACTCTGGTGGTTTCAGGAAGGTAAAGCATATCAGAAAACAATCCTTTGTAATCATAAAGAGACAGTGTACTGATTAAATCAACGTTTTTGCATTGGTAAGTAGATTAGCCTAGGCACACCAACCTCTTCATTCAGGAGGCAGTAGCGGTTGGATCTCTGTGAACTCAAGGTCAGCCTGATCTACACACCAGTTTCCAGGCCAGTCTATCACACAGTAAAGCCTTTCTCAAAATAAATAAAGAAACAAGTAAGCAAGTCCTCGAGATTTATGTTTAAGTCCTCAGGGTTGTGCAGCAAGTGCTTTTACTTCTGAGCCACCTCTTCTGCCCCCTTGTTTGTTTGTTTGTTTGTTTTTGAGACAGTTTTCTCATATTCCCACACTAACCAGAAGTTTATTGTGTGTGCAGATTATCCTCATTATTGCCTGCTGGATTTCTAGTGTAGCTTTCTGGATTTTATTTCTGGCTTCTTGGCATTGCCCACCCCTTTTTCTTTTTCTTTCTTTTAAAATTATAAATTTATTTATTCCTATTTTATATGCATTGTTGTTTTGTCTGTATGTGTGTCTGTGTGAGCTTGTCAGATTTCCTGAAACTGGAATTACAGACAGTTGAGAGCTGTCATGTGGGTGCTGGGACTTGAACCCAGGTCCTCTGGAAGAGCTGTCAGTGTTTTTAGCTGCTGAGCCATCTCTCCAGCCCCCTCTTTCTTTCTTTCTTTCTTTCTTTTTTTGTTTTTGTTTGTTTTTTTTAGAGAGGATTTCTCTGTGTAACTCTGGCTGTCTTGGAGTTTGCTCTATAGACCAGGCTGGCCTCATACTCAGAGATTTGCCTGCCTATGCCTCCTGAATGCTGAGATTGCAGATGTGATACACCACTCACTGGCCATTGATAACCTTTTAATAATGTGAAAATTATTAAAGTAGAGCCTCATTAGTGTGGTATAATTAAAGAATAAGGAAATGATTGAAAAAAGAGAAAGGGTTGCAAGCTCAGTATTAGGGTTCAGTCTAAAGATGGTTAGTTTAAGTTCTGAGTTCAATCTCTTGTACTGAAAAGAAAACTGCTATTCCCAAATGTGTATATAATAATTCACAATACTACTGACTCCTAATATTAGAAGATATTTTATAACTTTCCATACTGTGGACATTGAAGAGCTTCCTGTGTTGATTTTTTTTATAAGTCAGGTGCTTGTATGAGTCTCAGGTATTGGTAAGCACCATGTGGAATGAACAGTATTAGTTGATATTTAACATGATTCATGGGGATGTAAACAGGTGTGTACTCACCCCACATAGTGGACTGATGGATGACCTAAGTCCAGTCTGTGAACTAATTTGTTTTATTGGAACCACTTAGAAGAATATGTGTGAGGGGTTACTTAGAGGAGCAGAAATGACTCAAAGACAGGTGCATCACAGATGTCCATCCCAGTACAGTCTGCCAGGAGTGTGTTA